ATTTAACATAAAAATTTGCACTGAGCTTGACTGTAAATTTTAATTGAATGAATACACTTTGGATCATTCAGTAACACACGGAAAAATTTGTCCGGACACTTGAAGAAAATGTCGGTTTGCTTCTGCTTTTCTACAACTGCTTTAATTTGGTAAAGCATTACCTATGACCAAAAGTATGCAACAGCTTTCATTATTCAGTCCATGAATTTTATAGCCAATTACATATTTTTAAGAAAATTTGTGGTCAACATTGTATAACGGAACCAATGTTTTATTTGTACAAAACGATATTTTCATTGCCCAATACCAGGCGCTCATACATACATATGCATGAAGTAGCAAGCTTTCGATACGCATTCATTTTTTTAAGACCTTTTTAATTTTTTTTTAGAAGGCTTTGAACTTCACAAAGTATAATTTTGGAAATTTAAAAATTTATACAAACAATTTCGTACGCAGAAATAGAAAACTTTTTACTTCACACGTATGAGCGCCTGGTATTGGGAAATGAAAATATCTTTTGGATCAAATAACAACTGGTCATAGAGATCGCCGCGCGAAAAAAGGAACTGAAAGAACTAAGTCAAAACAAGTTTAAGGAACTTTCTCTCGAAGAACCATTTTCGAACTAAAGTGCATGTTAAAATTAATCAAGAAAAGACTGAAAGATAATTATACAAATAAAGTCAACGAAAGACTTGGGACACGAACTTTTCTTTCACAAAATACAGTTCCATAAATAGATCGTTCACCCAAACGATAAACGATCTGGAAGTTGAAATTAGACAGCTTTCCTCTGGCTTAAAATTAACAACCATGGTTCTTAATGAAACGATTTTTCATCCCAACATGCACACGCCCGTCTTATTCTTAACGTTAATTACTCAACACTTTTTTTCTCTAGCCGAACGTTCCCCATGCTTTTGTTCTTCTTTGATTATCGTGGAAAACGTTCTCGATATTTTCGTTCTCATTAAATTCCTATTGAAAACGTTACCGAAAGTTTAGTTCCCTTTCTGTTCTTCTTGAGAAAGTTCCCGTGTTGCTTGCTCGCATTTTTTACTTTACAGAAACGTTCTGAAACCGTTTGTTCTCATTTTTCTTCCGTTCATACTGGTCTCAATACTATTGTTCCCGTTTGGTTCTTTTCGGGAACGTTCTTGATATTAGATTTTGTTCTCATGCAGAACTAAACCCAAACTGTCCCTAATGTTTTGTCCTGCNCATTGGTTGCGCTTGTCGTTTATAGATCTTCGCACTACCATTTACACTTCTCTTTCGTCAATAGGTGTACGTCCGTCCGGCTGTTTGCACGCTTTTATTGTACTTACCAATCGCATTAACACAGTATCCAAGTTCTGCTGTGCCATCCATAAGTTTGTTATCGGTGTGAGCGTTAGCCGCAAACTTGGCCTGCTTCTGTTGCTGCTGCTTGTCGAATCCGAATTTGTCAGTGATCTGAATTGATTGCACTAATAGCATATCTTCTTGACTAGATTTACTATCTGTAGTTGAGGCAGTCGTTCCACGTCTACTACGCAGGCTAAGGCGTTTTTGCTGTTGCTTCGGTTTAAGATGTTTATAATGTTCACGGCTGCTTTGCACAGTGCCTTCGAATGTTGCTACGAATATTTATGAAAGAGGTGGCGGGAAAATATTGATTATATGATTTTTATCTAGCGAATAGATTTATTGTATGTTTTATATAAATATATACATACATACATACTTAAAGTATTTAAAAATGATAATAACAAAATTTCTGTAGGAATTTACAATCCTTTTGACAGAAAAAAAAATCATCGTCAATTTAATTTTCATTTTATTTTATCGATTACTTAATCCTAATATATATTTGTATAGCAAAAGTTATCGGCCAAAGTTAGCTGAACGTTGATATCTGTACCTTACTCACTTCCATTGTAGCTACTGATTTACTTACTTGTAACATTCAGCGAACGCCTTCTTCGACCATACGAATTCATCGGCCTATATTCACCAACTCCGTCTTCTTGATCGCACTGTACCGGATTGCATGTAGGCATACAGGGTGTAACAAGTGCACGGAATTGTACCAACTCCGAAGTAGGAAATTTGAATGCATCAAAGTGCGAAAGTAGTATTTTCGCCGACGTCGAGCTTTTGTAAATCGGTCCCATAATTAAGAGATCTGTGGGGCACCCATTTGAGTCGATTAGCGTAATCTCCGCATTGTCATTGCCGTCCATAGCGACAAGCTCGCGTACAAAGATTTCATACGGACTTTGCGCGTCAAGTATTTCGAATTTCAGCGCCAGTGGATCACCAACTTCAGCTGTGCGCAATACATCACTGCCATCACGTGATGTAATTTTCATTAGTACATTCGGTGAATCGACAATCACTTCTTCGCTCAATGCTGGCTCATAATCATCCTTGACATCAAGCAACACCTCATTTGCCACCGATTTGTTCGACAAATCATATTGACAAGTGACAGCCAAACCCAAATCGGATGAGGTGACAATTGTATCGTGGTGTTGGATCACCACATCGTTCATATAACGGCCGGTATTGCTTTGGTGTACGTTGCATTCGAGATTCTGATAGCCCATGCGTAATTCAAAGTCTAGTGCTGTTCTTACATCGACCGCGCACGATTTGGGTGAACCCTTGGCGTAGACTTTGCCATCAAATAGTTTCGAGGTACGAATGCGTGCAACCATATCAATGGCGCCACATTCGATGGTCACATTGTAGCAAGATGAGAGTTCAAAGGTTGTCGCTTCGGGTACATCAAGGTAAGGATCTTGCACGTCAGTGAGTGTGGTGCGACTGTGATGAGAAAGCCGACACACCATATCGCCGGTGTCGCCGTAATCGTAAGAATGGCATCTGGAAGGAAGAGCGATAGCGTGTAGGTTAGAGCAGTGTCGAAAGACTGCTATTTAGGAAATCATTTTAGAGAATGGCCACTCATCATATTTCGAAGCCGAAACCGAAACGAACCGAACAACTTGGGCTAATTCTTTTCAAATCCCGAACGAAATTAACCCCCAAAATTGTAACGTACGTAAAATTTACGTATATGCTTTACATAAAGAGCTGTTATGTCACCTAGGTACCACATAAAAATTGTTCGCTTTACCAATGCTTCCTTCAATCTCTTTACATTTGAAAAAATGCAAAACAGGATATGTATTAATCTCTGCCCAAATATTGCAATGCTCTCCGTAAACTATGTAAGTAAAATTTGCACCCGCTAAAGATGAAATAGAGGCTATTTTCAATGGCATTGCTGTCGATGGGAACCCCAAAAATATAACCGCGACCTTAATGTTGTTTAAGAATGTGTATAACCGATTCAGACTTTCTTTGTACAAAACTGTGATATAAATGGGTTTAAAATCGAAAAAAATGACTACATATATTTTACGTATGTTAACAATAACGTACTCTTGATTAGCGTTACCAATCTAGGGTAAAAGCAAACCGGAGACTTTTAGGCCATAAAACTAAATCCTTTACATGTAGCTTTTGGTCGACCGGCAGAGTGAGAAGGTGATGTACATATATACCTTGCTTCCAGTTTCCTTTTAAAAATATCATCGAAGATGGCACAGCGCCAAAGCTAGTTTAAATAATGACTATGACTTACAAAATATATTACATCCTTTTTGTTTTGGAAAAAATCTACGGTGGCGAAAATGCAAATAGGGAATAGGGAAGGGCAATTGTTGGCTATTTTTCTTTATTTAAAAAATAATTGTTATTTGTTAATGAAAATATAGGTTACCATCTAAGAAAAACATATAAATAAAAATTTCAAACTTTATAATTTAAAGAAATGTTCATAAAAATTTGAAGCATTTTAAACAATTTTTTTAGAATTTTAGCATTTTCTTCCATATGAAGTATCGAGCCCTAACCGCCAAAATAACGTAAGCAACATTTTTTTCAAAATTTTCTTTTTGAAGCAGAAATGTATCTAGATGCTCTAGGAATATTTCTGCATCAAAAAGAAATTTTGAAAAAAATGTCGCTCACGTTATTTTGGCGGTTAGGGCTCGGTATGTTCGACAATTTTGTTGTAAGGAGAATATGAGCAACGTCTTCCACCAAAAGTTNACTTTGTTATTCTAAACTCGAAACTGCTTACTCATAATGTTTCTAAGAAATATAATTAAAAATTCTAAATTTTAAGGAAACATTTTTAGAATTTTCTAATTTTTGTACAAAGTTTGAAAATTTGACTTTCACGGTTTTTGTTAGATAATGAGCTACATACTCATAAAAAATAGTAAGCAATAAATAAACGAAAGGGAAATACCCAAAGTATGCGAAGATGTCTCTTCCCTATTTATATTTTCGCAACTGTGCATACATACCAGGGAAGCCAAGTCGTTGGGAATTCCCCGATTTGCGGGGGAAATCGGGGAATGGATCGTTTTTTTTTCGGAAATTTTAGTTTATGTGCAGAATCGGAATATGAACTGCTCTTTTGAGGAATTAATTTAGTATTTTTTGCTTCACTAACATAACATAACATAATGAGGTAAAAAAGTCGCAACCTGTAAATTATACAAATTACCGTTGATTTAGAATTTTCGTTATCGCGTTTGCGTTCAAATAATGAATAAACACTCTATTTTAGGTGGAATAAAACCGCAACACTTTCGAAAAAAAATTTAATACGAAAATTTTTGCCACTTGCAACTTGCACTTACTAAAATTGAGCGGGCTACAAAACTGCGTACTCAAAAAACGTATTTCTAGAAACTCTAATTAAAAAGCTTAACATTTTAACAAAAGCTTGTAGATTTTTTTTTAGTATTACACAAATTTTGAAACTTGGAATTATATGTTTTTTTTTATCAAAGAATTACCTATATTTTTATAAAAAAAAAAATAAATTAAATTAATAACAAAAAAATAATAGAAATTGTTAAAACTTGTCAAAATTTAGCGCGACTAAAATTTTTTCGACCACTGTATGTGTGTAAATTTTTTTCTTTATTTGTTAACTAAAAAACACGCAGTTTTGTTTTTTTTTTGTAAATAAGGAGATATCCATGGGTGGGGAATTTTACGAAATTTCCGGAAAACCCGGGGAGTTTCATTGTCCAAATCGGGGAATTCTCAAAAATAAGTTGACTAACCTGTATGGAAAATTGTGGCGATTCGATATATTGGGGTACGGATTCCGTTGGAAAATGAGAGAGGCAATTGGCGAAGCTTTTTGCTTTAGGCCCAAACCGACCAATGGTTGTGGCGCCAAATAAGAAGTACATTCCATTGGCATTAAACCTATTTTTATAATCTTTATTTTAAAAAAATCTATATTTAACGTCAAGATCATTTTCTTATAGAAAAATGTATGTGCATTGCATGAAGATGATAAAAAAACTGCGGAATAGAAATCTCTAATTTTAGATTAAATATTTTTTCTAGGAAGAATTTAGGCATTAATGGATGTGCATACCATTTTTGCTCACAAACTCATTTAAAAAAATTGGAATAAGTTTCAGTTCGTCTACGCTTACCTAAAATTTTCACGGTTTGCCGGAAACAGGGCATATTTAAGAGCAATACGTAAGTTGGAAATCGTCGAATTTCTAGTCTTCCGACAACAAAATGTTTGCTCTTCTGAAAAGTACCCATTTTCACATTCGATAGTTCGACATGATAGCGACGATATGTCGGCATTTGTCTCACCTACCTATATGGCGAATTCAAGCATAAATCACGACATTCATCAATGCTGCTAATATCCTGGAACACCGAATCCACCGTTTTTAAGATGCGTCCGGGCAAGCGCTTGAACTCGCACAACTTATTCGGCTCATCAACGCAGTTGTTCTCCAGATAATCGACAGTATCTTGGCGTTGGAACGCACTGGTGCCGGTTAGTGTAATGCGATCCATTTCGGAGAGCTCGCAACTTTTTGTGTTGCGATAATAGTTCGCCGATCTGTAGGAGAAGAAAAGTGAAAGCAAAACAATAGTAGCTAAGACATAAAAAATAGGTAATAATTCTAGCAAGTGCAAATGAATGAGCCCAGATTAATATGTTCTTTTAATAACTTTGACCGCATACGTAAACGTGTCTATAAAAAAAAGGTTCTGTAGCTTTAATTAGTGCTAGTATTGAAAATTCGCAGTGACGTTTGCCTTTCTCTTTTTGTTGTTTGGGAATGCAAGATGTTAAGTTTAAGATTTATGTAAATAGACACAGAAAAAAGTTCTAAATTCGATTCAAACTATCGCGTTATCGGGTAGCTTCTGATAATGAAAGTTTTTAAAGAAAATATAACTTGTAGTAAAAAATCTAAAATCTAATTTATTCTTCATTTCTCATTTAATCCATCTCACTCTCAGCACACTACATAAACAGATAAGTATGCACACACTTGCTGAGCTACGATTCTTACAGGAATAGTTTGTTACATTTACGTTACAAATTTACTGAAAACATCAGCAAACCATGCGATTCGGATTATAGAATTGCAATTAGTTCGGATTAATGAGTAGCTAACGCTGTGAGAACAGCAATTCAGATAATCGAATATTCCGATTATCGAATAGTCGCATCATCCTACCGTTATATTGCTTCACTGAATAAAAATGGGTTACTGGATTGATATAAAAGACTTAGGCCGCGAACTTGCTTGGGTCATTTTCAAACATGGAGCCTTACGAATTTCATATTTCCATTTGATATTTTGACTTTATGTAAATAGCTGCATCTAAGAAAAAGCCTAGGTTTGGCATGGAAATACAGGGTGTATGATCAACAAGAAAAGTGGTACAGGTAGATGAAAATATCATCGAAACTTAATCGTACTACTGGTAATATATTGAAATACTCTTTAAATTCATATACATATATATATATATATATATATGTATAAATTCAAATTCTAAATTATTAATTTTTTTTTTGTGACTCACCTGCACGTAAACTCCTGCTCGCTTAAACATAATTCCAAGCAATATTTTCGTGACACTACTGGGTACGTTCGCTTTGCATAACCATTAAGTTTATAACCTTGTGCGCGATCAATACTCCAGGCGCGCGGACAAGGGCGTACTTTAAGACATAATTTTTGTGCATAAAGCGTAAAGACAGGGAACTGCGACTTGGCTAGGGCACCTGGGGAAAAAATTAAAACGAAATTTAAGAAAAGCGAGCAATGTAGACGAAATTTATTTTCATTAATGCAGAAAAGTTATAATTTTGAAGGCCAATTGTCTGCCGATTTTCGAGAAAAACTCATCAACCCTCCACTGCTCTTCAAGGCAGCTTACTTCGTTTACCCTAATGCGTCGTTTTCGAGTATTTTTTATTAGAAAAGCGAAACCAAATGAATGCGAAAACAAATCTAATTATTCTAGTTTATTATCACAAACCAAATTTTCCCTTACGCACCGAAAACGATGCAGAAGGGTAGACAACGAAATTTTTAAATAAAAGACATAAATCCCGTATGAGACTAGTTGCGACTAATTAATGCCCATTTGTACCTGATTGAGTCTAATGCCGGAATACTCTATTTAGAGATTAGTTTCACAATTTTTTGCAGGGCATATACATACATACAGAGCAAGTTAAATAAAAGCTTGTAAACAAGATATTTGGAACTACCTTAAAGCCCTTGAGGTGTTCCTTGAATTTTATATGGGGAGAAACACGTTTTTTTTCTGTGCTTATCTTTAGAAGACTTTCAATAACAATACTCAATTGTTTATTGAAGCATTTTTTATTATAAACGATATGTTATAGGTCCCCCAAAAACCAAAAAAAAAATGTGAAGGGGCTCTTAAAAATTGTAAGTCTACTGAAAAGAATCAGAGTTTTCCGATGGGAAAATATTGATTTTAAAGAATTCTATTCCACTTCTACGAAACATTTTTTCCCCATTTAAAATACATGGAAAACTTTGAGCGCTTTGAGCGCTTTGAGGAACTTATAAATATTTTTTTTACTTTCGAAATAAAAAAGTTGGGTTTTATTTTTTCGGTACCGGATTTCGGTACAATTCAAAAATTTCGACTTTACTTTTTCACCACGTGAATTACATGTTGCAATGCAATGTTTTGTTATTAAATTATGCAGTAGATGGGTATAATGTAATGTGGGTCGGCCGCTGCGGTGTAGTGGTAAGCAGTGCGCGCTTCCACTCCACAATGCCTGGGTTCAAGCCCTAGTCAAAGCAACATCAAAAAAATATAGAAAACGGTTTTTTTTCTTAACAGCGGTCGTCCCTCGGCAGGCAATGGCAAACCTCCGAGTGTATTTCTGCCATGAAAAACAGCTTCTCATAAAAATACAATCGCCGTTCGGAGTCGGCGTAAAACTGTAGGTCCCTCCGCTTTGTGTGACAACATCAAGGCGCACGCCACAAATCGGAGGAGAAGCTCGGCCAAACACTAACATATGTGTAAGCGCCAATCTATTATTATTATTAAGTATTTCCAGATAAATCTTGAGCTTTAAAATGCTATTTTATGAGTGCAACTAATACTTATACAAATCAATTAAATACGCCATGAAAAATTTTTCACCCACCTGGTAATTTATCTGCATTTGACGAAAAGAGCACGCATAGTCCGGTCTCGTAGTTCACAGCATGGCAAGCAGGATCTTTGCGACAAGCATCCAAGCAATCAGTTAGCATGAGTGTGCCCGGCAAGGAGTGCAACATTTTTCCGGGAGCAGAGAATACATAACTAAACAGATTGAAAGCAAAGGAGGAACGGAAACAGCGAAGAAATAGGAATATTTATTTGATTAATAATAATAAGTGTTCAGTGTTTGGCCGACATGATTCAGTTTTGATATTGTTTGAGTTGACAAAAACAGTCAAGAGTAGCTCATTAGAATGTCAGAAATAATTTATTTATTAATTAGAATAAACAAACTATTTATTGTTTTGAGCTATTCTAAGGCCGTATAGTTCAGTTTTAACTTCATATAATACAGAATTATGTATAGCACGAGTATTATTAATTTTTGAATTTATCCAAAACTAATATCTACATACCCAATTTGCAATTGCTTACCCAGTTGTAATTTCAAAACCAATAAAATCAGCATCACAGACCTGAATATCATTTCCCTGATTATCCAGATTTTCTTCGAGGCTATTGTCGAAAAATTCCACCTCGTCATCAACAGCGTAATTTGTCAATAGCTTAGTTTCTTGTAATAAATGTGATTCGTCTTTCAATGTAGCATTGGAAGAATTGAACTGAGAAGAAGGTAGCCTCACAGTTTTCTCTCCGCTCGTTGCTGTTTTTGTATCCTTTATAGCAGCACTCTGAACATATTCAGCTTCAGCTAGTTTACTACCTTCCCCGGCTTCAGATTTTTTCAAATCGTTCGGTGCTAATTTTGCAGCCTTCATAGCTGCTGTTTCTGCATTTGGAGCTATTTGAGCTGGTTTGTATTTGCCTAATGCTGTTGTTGCATGTTGTTTATCTTCAGTAGCTAATTTACTAGAGGTTGAGTTTGCTACTGCAGCAGCTTGCTTTGCATTATCTGATAAATCCAAGCGTGAATGTCTGGCAGCAGTCAGACTGAAAGAAGAAGCTATCAGCATGGATAAAAGCAAAAAACAAGATATCCTTTTGTGCTTGTCTGTAGTAGGTATTCTGTGTTGCATATTTGTTATTGGTAGCTAAAAATAAAAATATGAAGGTGTGAAATAGCACGGAAATATGATATAAAGGAAAGTCTAAGCGAAGAATTATTAAAAAAGATGAACCGAAAGCTATTTTCATACAGGTTTTTTTAACGGTAGCACACATAATCAAAAAATACCACGTAAACACATAACCGGGGTACCCGGGTGTCCACTTACCAGTTTTGAAGGTTTTAGAGGCATAATAGCAATTTTTATGGGTTCAAATCAATACTGTTTGAGCGCTATTCCATTAAGAATGTTAATATATTAATATATAAACTCAGCAGAATAAATTTGTTCGGGGCACCGAAATTGCGCATATGAAAACTGTGCATTTAGACATTATTTCGGTTTTCAACAGAAACTGTGCATGTATGCATTATATCGGTTTTTGTTATATGCATTATTTCGGTTTTGAACTGAAATTGTGCAT